GTTGCATTTTATCGCGGCAACAAAGAGAAGAAAGCCACTAAATAGACATGCTCACATGATTTTGGTGCCTCAGATAAATAAAAATGTCAACATGGTCGGATTCCGATCAGAGAATTCAACGTCCACATTTCACAGGTCAAAGAAGGGCAAGTGAAGCTGGAAAATGAAATACGGTGCTCAGTTATTAGGACAATTTATCGTAAAACGATCGAGCAGCTAAGAATAATTAGGTCATCCATGAGCTAATGTCATGACAGGGGAAGGTAACAAGAATGAGACAAATTCAGAGAAGAAATGTCAAAGGTTGGAAACTCTTCGTAAACATGATAGAAGATGAAACAAATGAGAAATTAGATTAGATCTGGGTTTTAGCAAAGGAATCTTTGGTTATCCTTAGAAAATATTTAAGTTACTATGTTACACTTAGGCCTGAAAAATGCAAGGCTTGCTATACAAGTGGTAAAAAAACAGACAGTTCCTTTTATGCCAATGGAAAGGAGTACTGCAAGGAATAAATGACTAGCTAGAGTAAAAGAAAAGAGCGCCTTAGCAAAGCTAGAGTATACGTCGGTAAATGCTTGCAGTTTGGTTAAAAAGATGAAATAAACTTCGTGGAACTCTACTAATGGACATTGTAAGGTAATATACCACACAGCCCAAAAATTAAGGAATTTCAGGAATAAGAAATTTTGCTGAATTTAAGAGACCATGTACATCAATGTTTCGCCATAGCTAACCGAGCTAAACAAAAAATAAGCTTTAGGACAGCAATTTACGCACCCAAATGGTGTTCGATCTCCAAAAGGGACTAATGTAGAAAGGATCCTGGAACTAGTCTAATGAAGCATATTTGTATTTATATTAACGATAAAATTGGTCTCTCATCTAATCTCCTCCAATTCCTACTTTCCATGCACTTCTAATTAATGCTGAAACAGAACGGCAATTGAGGAAGGCAAACCAAAGATAGGCGTCTGAGTACGTGCAGATAAATAGAAGTAAATTTACTCAAACAACAATCAGAAAAATCATGGTAACGGTCTTAATTATTTAGGCTGCAAAAGGCGAATTATGCACGGACGTCAAGCTTGCCAAAACAGTTAGAAAATAATAGAGAAGTATCACGTCCATGTACCACATGGTGCTAAGAATGGAGATACTCACTGACGATGCCGGCGAAACGTCTGGGAATGTACCACGTCCACGGTCTTACTCTGGAAATGATGATGCATACAATGGACTCCGGACAAGGTGCGTTCCTCTAAGTCTTCCTACCAATATAACCTAGTTGCGAAAACAAGTTCAAACAACTTCAATAGAGAAGTCTGTCGTCCCAAAACAAAATATTAAATAGGTCATGATATTTTGACGAAAACACAGCAAAAACAAATAGAAATTAGGAAAAGAAGCTCAAGATGGATTGTGGCCGAACATATGTATATGGCCAGCAAGCAGTTATTAACTTGTCTAAGAGTTGTATCGCACTGTTTCGTTTACAATGTTGAAGGACTGGTAGACGAATTTTTCCACAATGATATGATTAGGTCTCATATTTCCGTTGAATTTCACGTAGGCATGCTCACCAAGCCGAGCAAGACATGAATTGCTTGCTTGTTACTCCTGCATGATTATCACCGAAGTGACCGTAACCTAAGCATTCAATTAGAGTTTCTTCAAGGCCTTCATATTTAGAAGATTTAATCTTAAAATATATTAATTCAGTAATTAATTTTTAATAGGTGGATTTTAAATGTTTGTGCGAAATAGAAGATAGACGAATTGTTGAGCATTTCGACCTTGAGTGATAATGAGACTATGCAAACAAAAGTTGGGTTTCGAGGAATCTCTTTTTGCATAATTGTTGAGCTTACATCCATTTTAAATGAAAGTGTTGGGTGAAGAGATTCGAAGGTCGGTTTCGCCAGAAGACGACGGCAGATTCGTCTTGGCCAGCTGTCGATTGGCCTTACTGGAAGATTCATGGTGACGCTGTTTCCGAGGTAATCTTATTCGATTCCGGTGAAAAGGTGCTAAGCTTTCGTCCGTCACAAGACGAACATCATCAGAGCAAGGTATCATCATCACAACCAAATTCTTGATTCATTAGCTTAAATTTATGCTCTTATAATGTTCACCATATAACGGACGAAAGCGGCACCCTTTCACCTGAATCGAAGGAGATTTCCTCGGAAACAGCGTAAGCATGAAGCTTCCAGTAAAGCCAATCGACAGCTGGTCAAGAGGATTCCACCGTCGTCTTCTGGTGGAACCGACCTTAGAATCTCTTCACCAAATACTGTCACTTGAAATGGAAGTAAGCTCAACAATAATAAGACTATCCATAGTGAATTCAAATGAAGCCTTGAACTCGCAGGTAAGCAACGCCTTCAAATAAAGTGACCGTGACTAGCTCGAGTGCTAGTCAGTAGCTCTACCTTTGTCGAAAAAAAGATAAGTCTACTAAAATAGACCCGAAGTGCTAACAAAATAGATTTACTGGATGTATGTCATAAGGCCTCGTCTCGTAAGTGGGAAGCCAAAGTATCAAAGCATACACAGAAATATACGGATCTCTCACACAAGCAAGCATAAAAAGTCAACTTTAACACGAAACGAAAGTGCAGACGTATTGAAGCATGTAGAAATAAATATAGAGACCGAGATTATTGAAGAGATAGCGTGTTTAGGAGAATGGTCAGAAAGTAGACAAATACAAAGAGGACGAACTGGTTCTATTCACGACAGGAAAATTAGATGAAACAATGAGGCTGTTTGGATGTTGAAAAGTTTGCTTTTTTTACCGCCTGAAGCCGCAACACTTCTCTGAGCTGCGCTTGCACCTGCTCTACGTTGGAAGTCAGACTATCTGGAGAAGCGGTTGAGTTGGGACCAATTCCATCATTCAAGTGGGTGGACTGCCTTGAAAGGCTAGAGAGATGATCAGCGAGAGTATCAACCAGGCGCCTGGCTTGTTCAGCTGTGTCTCCTGAAACTGAGCTGGCTATAGAAGACGCACAAGCCGCCATACAAGAACCAGACTTTAGTGACTCTAAATTTCCAAAAACTTCAAAAGTGTCAACATTAAGGTCTTTCGATTCATCGCTTGCTTCACTATTAGCAAGCATCTCTGGGTTTTTTTCTGTTAAATCTTCTTGTAAATGTAAGGGAGGCTCAATCGCATCCGCGGAACAATTTTCTTCCGAAGTCTGCATTGTAGAGATGAGCGGTGCTGCGAACAGAAAGTCGTTAGTAAAATGAGTCACAACGACAGAGGCTAGATCTTTATTAAACACTTTTTCCCCTTCTTCTTGTTCGTCCACTTTATCATTCTCATTCGCTCCAAGTCCCCAATGTCCTTCGTCTTGTTTCGGAATGATCCAGATATCGGGTCGAGGTCGAGGTAACCTACGCTTTAGCTTCGGGCCCGGAGGCGGTTGTGGAGGTTCCAAGATCGTAGGCCCAATGACTTTGCTCGTGCTAGCCTCCGAAAGAGCAGAAGAACAATCCCGGCCAGTCGATATGGCAGTATCAACGTCACGTGCCATCGACTCATCAAGTGGAAAAAGGGCCTCATATACAACAGTAGCCATTGCTACTGCGGAAGAGGTTGTTGATTCGGATGCGGAAGGATGAGATGAAATTTCTGGAGTACGTGTCTGAAAAGTTGTGACTTGACGGAAAGTTGGTGATGAAGAAGAGAGGTTGTTGCAGGGTTGAGTAGTAGAAACAGGCTCATCAGCTTGAGTGTTACCTGCCACTTTGATGATTGTGTCATTAAGGGTGGTCATGTTAATTGAGAAATTATAAGAAGGGTTGGGCTGTTGAGATAAAGGAGATTGCACAGTCAGTGATGAGACGACTGCTGGTTCCGAAGTGGGTGCAGTTTGTGGAAATATCGAGAGTAATCGGCTAAGGTGTGCCTGCTGTTGGAGTAGTTCGAGTTGCCGACGATCTTTCTTTCCGGTTATCCGACCAAAGAATTCAGTCTGATGTGAAGACATTTCTTGTTGTTGCTGCTGCTGCTGTTGCTGTTGTTGTTGTTGTCGTTGCATAGCATGAGTAAGCAAATGAAGATGATTATGCTGCTGCTGCTGCTGCTGCTGTTGTAGGAACAAATCTAATGATAGAGGATGTACTGAAGGCGCATGTGACAACGAAAGTAATGAAGGAACTAAAGGGTTGGAGGCGGCTGCAAACCATTCGTTTGAAGCATCTGGCTGTCGTTGCTGTTGTGTTAGTTGAACTTGATGATTATGCTCATGTATTTCCAGTTTTTGCTGAGGATGCTGATTCGCAAATGAGGGGTGATCCATAATTCCCTGCTGTTGGTGTTCCTGCTGAAGATAGGGTTGATGCTGTTGACGCATGCTGTTGGTCTGATAAAGAAGAGCCAGATGGTTGTGATAATGCTGAAGTAGCTGATGTCTACGCAATTGGAGCAAGGCGGAGGCCGTGGGGTCCATGTAGGCCTGTTGTAACCATGCCATTAAAATGATTTGTGCTTGCTGCTGAGCCGCCAAAGCCTGTTCTTGCAGAGCCGCCTGCTGTTGTTTCAATAAAAAGTAATGCTGCTCTTGTTGCTGTCGCATGGCGATTTGATCAAGCGAAGTCAAAGACACTTGATTTTTTTGCTGTTTATGCAAATGATTCTGTTGACTTTTCTGCTGATGATGACGATTTTCGTGGGGATATCTGTGACACGGACTTGCAAGAGAAACAGAACGGTCAGTGGAGCA